GTTTTCTTTTACCAATGAACTGTGTGCATTATCAAGTATGGGGTAATAAACAGGACTGATGCCTGTTCTCTTTCCCATCACCTTACCTCTAGTGAAAATGGTAAGAAAAGACCCCCTACCCCCTTTTCCCATCCTAACCAGAAAAGTTACCAGTGGTCACGAAATGGCTCGTATTCAATTTGACTCCAAACTTTAACTGTCCAGCAGTTCACTAAAACATGCTTTCCCATTTTCCAGATGTAGTTCCGAAACTCTAACACTGTCATTTCTCCATTTCCTTCTTACGTAAATAAAAAAAAAAACGACCCGGCGACGATCAACGTGGTCCGACCTTCTGGAGGCTTTATGTAAAAAAACTAGACCACACTGTGTGTTTCGTGGACATGAACAGAGTGAACGCTTTCAGTATACTTTTCTACCTTAATAGCAGTAATATCACAACGAGCCTGTAGAGGTGGTTCAAGAAAAGGCGTCAAATTTGTTAGGGTCAATTTCATTCCAGAACTACCTCAATCTCTATTTACAGCAAAGAGGGAAATAAAACAACGTGGCAAATCTTCCTAATGATTCTCATTAAAAAATGAAAAATGCTCAAGTCCTTCTTGCGATCCGTCGACAAGTCCTAATCAGTTATACTCATTGGTTTCCCCTCTAGAAAGATGCAAAGGAATAGGTAACATCTAGACGCAAAACTTACCTGAATTGCTGTTACAACATGACAAGGATTGAGAAGGAATATAACCTGCTTTGTAGCAAATTTGAACCCAATCTCGATTCCAAACACGAGGCAATGTACAACCAAGAGAAGTCTTTTACCAACTCCACGACCTTCTCTGTACGCCGGCAAATCCTCTGGTACAGAAACTTTCCCTAACAATTTCCAGAACACTAAGATTGTGAAGAGTTCGTATACCACAGTTTCTACAACTCTCTGCTTCGGAGTCAAGAATTCAGCGCATTCTTTCCCCCCGTTTCCGGGCAAAGTGAAGTCTACACCTCCATACAAAACATCAGTAATGTAATTCATGTCCATCGTTCTCATAAATTTGATCAAAGAAAGTCTATTCCAAACGAAGAACTACCTACATTATCATATACACACATCCATAATGTATCTCAAGCAAGAAAAAAAATCGCCGTAGCTCGTCTAACTTGCTTAGTAACCGAACCAATGATCGCGTAACCGGAAAACGAAGACAGATTTAAAGGAGGGTAGGGGGTGGGAAGGGGGGTTGTACGGCTATGGCGCATGCTTGGGGTGCACAGGTTTTAGGACGTTTTCTCAACACTGCTTTAGATTTGAGAAGGGCACTACATCTGCACTACAGAGAGATAAGGTCAGAGAATTGGAAAATGCACAGGAGTTAAAGAAGCCAAAGAGGAATGTGGCAAATCCCACGAACCCCGTTGTAAGCCTCTGCCGTCAACCAAACAAAACGATAAGCAGGTAAAAACCCCTTTCATCAGGATTAATACCCCCCAAAGTTTCCTGTTTAGTTACCAGAGAGAAGACGTTGTTGTTTTGCTGTGTGATGTTTCACTTTCCTTTTCCCGTGTTAGTGTACAAGGTACAAATTTACCTGAGGAAAGGGTATCAAAGCAGATTACCTGCTTTCTTAATATCCATACTCATAACACATATTAAAAACAGAGTTTGCAACTTTTGATTGTGTAGAAGCTGACACCCTCAAAGTCAATGATGGCACACTATGTACAAGCCTTGAATCATATTCTTTTTCTCAAAATGCCGGGGGAGTAACATGCATCTGGCCCACGTTGGAGATGTTGTTTTCGACAGCTTGAAATATGTTTCATTGACAGTGTCCATACTTTCTTTCTATTTATTACTTATTGACTTGTTTTCCAGTGATATTTCTACACTGTCCCCCTTGGCTAAATTTGCCGCGTATCAAAAACCTTTTGGAAGATGTCTAAGCCCAGTACACAGCATCCTCTATGATTCCTCCCCCAAATCAAAAGTAATTTTGAGGGCAGTGTTTATTGTGCCAAATATTATCTAGGAATGTGTTGGTTTTGTCTAAGTTTACTCTGTGATTGGTCCAGAAAATTTGTGCATTCCTGTCAACCAACAAGATGCAAACTAAAGACAGGTATTGTCCACAACCATGCTCCCATGCTTCAAGGAGTTTGCTTGTTCCAACTTGAGTTCTCATATTTTTTTTTGTTATATTCGCCATATTCTATCTGGCCAATGTCATTACATTGTTGTTGGTTTTAATACTCATAGAAAATATGCTTCACGGTCAAGGAAAAAGAAAGGAATTTGACATAGGGAGCTGAAAAGGGAATGCTAGTCAAATATAGCCTGTAAGTTTGGATAGAGTTTCACAAACTCTGTTTTCAATTGACAATGAGGGTAAAATGTATATTTTTTCCCTTACTGGCTTTGAAAATAGGGGGAGGATTACCACAAGACTCCTAGATGGCTGTTAGAGAAACTTGAAAATCATTCAGTTTTATTATCCGTTCTGTGTAAGTCAAAAAATATTCCACAAATTTTTGATAAACATAACTTAATGTCTCTAATGCTTCATATGATTCAATTTTTCACAACTCCACACACAAAAAAAAAAAAAAAAACATTACATTAATTTCATTTTAGAATCATTAATTTAACTTTATAGGTTTGGATTGTACTTTCTAGCAAAGTTATCCATTTTCTAATAAAGAATTGCCCATTACTCAACATTTGAAGCTAGACCATCTCGCACACAGTATGTAGTAATCTCTCTGTTGCAGTACCAGGAGTTTCAACAAAAGCCCGTTACCTGCAAGATTTCTCACCACTGCTGCCTAGCTTGTAAGCAGGGTGTTATGTTTGGGTTTCCCCCTTGCAGCACAGCTGCCTATTAAACCATTTGCTGCAGCTTAAGGATGAAACTGCTGAGTAATAGAACTCATTTGCTATTTGGTACAAATTAATATAATCATAATGATCAATACTTAGTTGTGATTGAAGGGCTGTAACACAGCATTATGCCACAACAATATTTGTTTTCTTGTATGGAAAAAAAAAACTTTCTGGTATGAATTGAAAGACCGATGACTCATGATTGAGTAGGCATTGAATAATCTCTTTTTACAGACTCTTCATTTTGGCTCTCACCAGTAAATGATTTTGCTCACTCTGATATACTGTAGTTTTTTTGGAGCTAACATACAAGCTAGGACTTTTTCATTAACCATTTAATCACTATGATTCAATTAGTTATTCTCTCAACTGTCATACATTTAATTACAAATTAGACAAGAGTGTTTGGTGCAACCTAAGCAGAACACCCACTATTCTCTACCAGATTACCACATCTGTTCTCATAACCTCATTGGAGGATAACATATTGAAATCACAATAAGAAAATACATGTTACAGTAATCACTTTTGGAAGTTGAAGGATTAAGCACGATTTTTATCCAGTCATCCAGATAACTCTTGGTGCACTCTGTGATACAGGCCCTTCACGTCTTCACCTTACATAATTACTTAAACATACTAAGGATGCCTTAACTAGATACACCTTACTACATCAACAGTCTTTTGTTCAGAAGGAAAAACATCTAAATAATATATTTGTTTAAGTTAAAGAAAGAGCAATTTTCAGATGTATGTAGAAACTATTCCTCTCTTGCACTGGTTTTGGTAAACTAAACTATGATTGAATTGAATATATCAACAAAGTTGAAATGGTTAATTGGCCACTGTTACGATTATAAAAGCTGACGTTTCGAGTGTTAGCCCTTTGTCGGAGCCCTTTGTCTTTCGCTCCGACGAAGGGCTAACGCTCGAAATGTCAGCTTTTATAATCGTAACGGTGGCCAATTTACCATTTCAACTTTGTTGATATGTTCAAATTATTTCGTTACCCTAACCGACACAGCCCCAAACAGTTTCTTTAGAATCTATCAGCCTTTAAACTATGATTGGTTTGAAAAAACTGAGGTAATTGTTGCATCCAATAGGATGAAAACTCATCACTTAAAATGAAAAAAAAAAAAAAAAACTTAAAAGTGATTAAATCATGATGCAATTATCTTAAAGTAGATATGAAAGTATCTAACACATATCAGATTCAGAGTTCAATCAGATAGAGGCCATTGACAATTAAAAGATATCACTCTAGAAAAATACAATCAGTGTTTTTGGTTGAAAAAGGCTGTAGCCCTGACAAAGTACATCAGTTCTAAATATAGAAGAGAAGCAATTCTTTTTTGAAAGTAATTTTGCAAGATTTGGGTCAATCCAAGGCCATGGATCTTAAACCACACACTCATGAAAGGTAACAAATTATCAAATTTGGGGACAAAACATCTGTTTCTCATCATCATAGAATCTAAAATTATTTAATAAACATATCACATTGTTACCCAAGTAAATCATTCTAGAGTTATTTACTCTGAGCAATTACTTTGGCCTCCACTCACTAACCTTTACAGAGAAAGCAAACTTTTTGCACACTGCCTTACTTTTTTGCTCATTTTCATCATTAAAACAACAATCCTGACTCCCTTTGTACATAACATGACTTGACCCTTAACTGAATTGCTTACAACTACTGACAAGTGATATTTTCATCTAATGATGTATGTGTCATCACAGATACCCTTTAACTCCCGGCTGCAACCAGGAAGTATAATCTCCTCACCAAGTCAAAACCTAGCCAGCTTGTAGGCAGTACTTTGTGTTTTCAAGCATGAGATTCTGTGTTGCGAGTATTCAGTTGCCATGTTGAATGGATGGGTGGAAGATTTGGGACAAGCGACAAAGCAGGGGGCAGGGGGGGGGTGAAAAACCCTTTTGTTTTTCTGCTTTTTCTCCCCTTGTTTTGTCACTAGTCCCAGATCTTCCATCAGTCCAATATTGTGAACAAAATATTGCCCCACTAAATCTTATGCTTGAAAACACAAACCAACACCTGCAAGCAGGTTAATATTGTTCGATTGAAACCCAAATTCCCGCAGCAACAATCACAATGAATGTATAGTAAAGGGTGAGGCAAATCAGGGGCATAGCCAGGATTTTTCAAACGGCGGGGATCACAGAGGCTACTCACCATTTACACCACTGCTCTCCCGCGTGTATCAGCAGGCTCAGTCGTACTATCGCAGCATGAAGGCTCATATCAATGGCTTTTACGGCCAAGATATTGTCAGGACCCCCCTGGCTACACCCTTGAGAATTAATAGTTTGATATTGGGAGATAAATGACATCAACAAGTTCATCTTGACCTGTGCTGATGAAATCTATCACGAAGTGGAATAGATATTAAGTAGCTCAGATCTCAGTTTGAAGGCTAGGAGATAGTAACCCACTACATGATAAAGATCATTATATTACATTTTACTTCTTTTGGATAGGAAAAAATCCTGATACATCTTAGGCACTATGATATCCCTTGTCAGCTACAGTGCATTATAGAAGAAAAAGAACTGGATACACACTGTGTTTCAGGCGCATCTGGAACCAAGCTTACCCCTCCATTCCCAATAAGCACAAATGTTCATTTAGAAAATTTAACCTTTACACTCTCGCATCAGCATGCAAATTCTCCATACATTACCTAAAGTTCTGACAAGGAGAATTTGTTTAACAATCAAGAGCTTCAGTCTATAGCAGAGACCGCAGAGCAAGGTGTAAAGTGGGAGGGCTGACAATTGAAAATAATTTTTTCATATTGAAAATCAAAAAAGGAATAAAATCATAGTATTTAATTTGTTTCTGTCGCGTGACTTTGCATACTGTAGTTATTGCTCTTTAAAGGTTGGCATTAGTGAAGATACCGAAATTCCTAATTATTTTTCTTTTAGCACAAAAAGTGGAGCCGCAGCCATTCCCCCTCCGCAGTCCCTGTATAGTTGGTAATTGTTTCCTTTACTCTCATGAACTTAATGTTTGAGGGTTGAAACTGTAAGGAGAACTTACATGCTGGTCGCTCTTTGGGGTTAAGGGTGAAAAGACCATTACCCCTTTATGTTTGTTACTTATTCACACAACCACTTTTCTGGACTATGCATAAGTATTGTATTACCAAACTTAACATGCTAGTTGGTAACTCTTGGGACTTGAAGAGTTTTGAGTAAATTACACATACAAACAAACTACTAAACAAAATTCAAACATCATAGAGTACTAGAAACTACTATTCATCAAAGCTTGAATGAACAAGCCATTTATCTAAAAAACCAATCAAAAGAAAATTGTATTGTCTTAAGGTATGAAAATATAATTATCTAACAATGCATACTGATAATTTCTCTTTTTGGAGGTTACTCTGCATCTGTATGTTTGTCCGTGAGATAAAAGATATTTTTTTCCTTTGGATACATTTTACTAATTTCTTTAAATGACTAAAACACTTCATTAGTTGCTCTCAACCCTTTCATTCCTAAGACAGGGCTTGACACTAACAGTAGCCACAGACTAGTAGAAAAATCCGTTTTGGCTGGTGGTTATTGATTTCCACTGGCCAGTTTGGCTAGTAAACAAACTGAAATTGGTGTAACATCTAGGTTGTCACTAGCCGCTTGGCTAGTAAGTTGAAAAGTTAGTGTCGAGACCAGCTAGATCTGATTTCTATTAACCCCTTTGCTCCCAAGATCTAAATAGCAATTCTCCTTACTGTTTGTAGTACAATTTTGAAGATGATACTTAAGAGAATTTGGTATTGCATCAATTAATCGTCCTCTTCATATTTTTCTTTCTCTTTGACACTCATCTGTTTGATGATATTGTATAGATGTTGTACAGGAAAATCATGGGAGTTAAACGGTTATAGGTAACCATGGAACTAATTAACTGTAATTATACAGTTTTATTAGCAATTCAACATAATCAAGGAGATAAATATATTCATCACTCCTCTCAGAGGCACAAGCTTGAAAAGTAAGATACAAAAAAATCAAAACTTTGACTACATAATTTCACGAAGACACTCTTCACTGCTTCAACATTAAGACAATACAAACCAACTCTTCTGGTTGGGCTTGCTTTGTCACCTGTCTTTACAAGCTTTAGTCAGGTATTGTTGCTGATATGGTTTGGCATTTAACATTTCTTTAGCAGTCTCTATGGGAAACCAAGACCTGGTGCGATCTGGGTGATAAAAGAAGAAACAAAATTAAAGTGAATATTGGTACAATAGGTAGAGCAGGTTAACAATAGGGACTCCATGCAGGAAGGCCTGGTTGTGCTGTTCAGCAACACTCTTACCTCCCATGATGAGCTAAACCAGGGCTGTGGTCTAGCAGTGCCTGGTGGCCCCTGGTGCCTTACTTTTGCTCTTGGGTGACTTGGAAATTTAAGTTTTTTCATACAAAGCATATGCTGGGCACCTCGGATTTCACAGTTTCAGAGCACAGCCTTGTAAACTGGACCTTACTTAAGATAGCAGCGGGAAGTAGGGAAGTATCACAGCCTCAACCTCCTCTGAGCTCAAAGAACATTGAAAAAAAATCCTCCTGATCATCTGGCAGTTGAAGCCTTTGCAGCTGAGTCTACTGTGCTGAGATTACTATACACCTTTGGCTTAACCTCAAACCCTTTCACACCCAAGATATCATTTGCATCACCTTACAGTCTGCAATACCATTCTTATCAGGCTGGTTCAGAGAATTTGGTATTAGATCAAATAATAATCCCCTAATTAATTGATATTTTTCTTTATTCTCGTCACTTGTCTGCGTGATATTGTAATAATAATAATAATAATAATTTATTAATTTATAGTGCGCTTTTTCAACATGTAATGATCAAAAGCGCATTAAACTTGTCAAAATCTAGGAATTAAAACGTACATTGTATATACATATATAATATATAAGAAAAGAAAAATGTATACATAATACTACTAAAAGAAAACATGTACATGATATATCTAAGAAATATTAAAAGCTAGTTTGAATAAATGAGTCAAGTTGAGTTTTAAAACTTGCAATACAATTCACACTATGCAAGCTGGCTGGAAGAGCATTCCATAGTGTGGGCGCAGCCACACTAAAGGACCTGTCACCAATATTACATTAACAATGTAATGAGAATTTATGTCTTGGTCACTGGGTGGGAGTTCAGGGCCAGAGTCTAGCTGTGCCTAGTGGCCCCTGGTGCCTTACATTTGCTCTTAGGTGACTCAAGAATCTTAATTTTTTCATAAAAAAGCATCTGCTGGACACCCTGGATTTCACAGTTTCAGAGCACTAGGCTCCTCTCAATTTTTCTACAAATACAGCCTTGGAGTTCAAGAGTTAATTAAGGACTGTGTTTTTCACCAACAAATGTATCCAACATGAGAACATAGAATGTACAACACAAATTGTTTGTAATATGTATCACAGAACAGATTTATCTGTAGTGAACACCAAATGGTCCTGAATTTAAGTAATATTAATTTTTCTGCAACGAGATTTCAAGCACAAAGTAATGAGATTTACCGGTATCTTTCTTTTCAAGAGCTTGAAGAGCACATGAAACTTGATTTTGTTTAGGACAGCAAAAAGTTGAAATTCAGTTGGCCAAGATGTCATATATCTCCACCGCTACTTTTCTTAAATCTATGTAAAATTATTCATTCTAAAAATTCTGAGCAATATCAAAATACATGTGGATAATCAAAATACAGTGTTACATCACAGTTTACTGATGCAGAGCTGTGATCAAGATTCTGTGACGAAATATACTGACTGGGTCGTTAAATCTTCTATCACTTTTTGCTTAAAATGTAAAATTACATGCTACGTAGTTTTAAGAATTAAATCAATTCTATTGAATTTTTTTGGAAACCTTGCCAGATAACAGCAATTTCACTTGCATCAACAGTTTAAATTACACTAAGAAAGTTTTGGTTCTGCTAAAAATTTCACAATGTTTTTTGGGGAACAGTTCTCTCTTGAATGTAAATTAGTTTCTCCAAGTGAAGCAAGGTCAAAAACATACAATAACTTTGGTGTAAAATTTTGCAAATCAGGTGTAAATAGGCTCTTTTATCATCATCAAATCTTAATGGCATCTGCTAAATATTTGTCGCTATGTGCTTCTCCTTTAATAGCTGTGATGACTTCTTTCAATTCCAACTCATTCATTATTCAAAAGCCCATTAAAATAGAAATCTTGGGTAAAGTGTCCTTTTGGTTGCACTATTTAAATAATAAACAGAGCATTTTGATACATTTCTTTGCCACTAACAGAGCTGTCTTGGGACTGTAAAACCAACAATTCTTGTACATCCGTCAGTTCATGCAAGGTACAGAAAATACTCTGATTAAAACTTTGACCTCTATTCACATATACACTCTTAGACATAGAGGGTAAAAAATATCAACAGCCTTTGTTTACACCTAGGAATCTTTAAACTTTAATCAAATCCCAGACTAAACATCATCTATTTTGAAAACAACTTCAAATTTTTATCTTGGCTTCTAGACTGAAAAGCTCACCTTGAAAACTGATATTTATATGTGTTATGTGTAGACTGACACCTTAGTAAATCCCATTTCGCATTTTTTTTTTTAATCAGTATGGTTTTGATAACCTCATTTAATGATTTTTTATAAAATGCATCATTTCTGTCCAAAAGAAAGCCATTAAACCTTTTCCCCACATCAGGTACGTTTAATTGCAAAACATGAATATTGTGAAATTGTCCCAAATCATTTTGGAATAGAGAAAAAGCAATTAACTTGACCTGATTATTTTCTGGTTCTGGTGGAGAAGGATTAAAATATTTTCAACTCCCTTCAAAAACAAGCTTGTCTAAGTTCACCCAGCTCACTGGATGAAAGATTTTTTTGTTTTTAAGACTTTATCAAATGCTCAGCAAAATAATCCTCCACTAAACTGAATCAACCAAACTAGAGCAGATTGTCACTTTATTAATAATTAAACTGATAACTGGTTCTTGAATAATGAAAACTTGCCAACCTAATGCATGCTCTGATCTAAACTGTCAAGAGCAAAAGTTTGCGAGGTTGAGATATCTGACAAAAAATTCTTGGTTTGACATTTCTTTTTTCACCTCTCAGATCGAGTCGCTCTAAAGTTGATCGTAAAAATGAACTCATTGCATCCTTCGACTATGTTTTGCAAAGGGGTCTACAACATGTAAATAATAGATAACCTCTTCCTGCCTATCTGGATGAAAAAAATGTCTTGTTTTGCTGATCTTTGTTCTGCATAACAAAATTTCTTTATTTGCCTCAGACTGTATACCAAGGGATTACAAAGCATCAAGGATCGTAAAATCTCATCCAAGTCACATAAATTTGAAATACTGTATCGGTAAGCTTTCATGTTTCAAATTCTCTAACACATAACTACAAAGAAATCAACTTTCTGTTCTGTTATTAAAAACAACCCATCGGTGGGAATCTATTATGCAGTCATCCCACAATTACCACTACGCTAAAATGAAATAAAAAATAGACTTTGGCCCGTTTAACATTAAAATATACAACAGTCAGCCGCGAATTACATGTACACATGAATGGTTGCATCCTTCTACGTTTGATCGTAATCGGTGACTGAAAAACACCACCAGAGAGGTGGAAAGTTAGCGGTGTGAATATGCATTAAGTAACAATAATCTACCATTTTTGTCGCCTTTTGAAGCTTTGGGCGATCTTTGTAAACAATGAACTACGCATCACCAGTATCAGTACGCAAGCGTCAGCTTAACGATGTTGTTGTTTGAAGGCGATGCAGAAAATAGTAATGTCATGTACCTTCTTCCCATTTATCGAGCATTTCTGTGACAATTAAGACGTAAACTGCCGTTCGAGTTTGGTTTACATCGTTCTGAAGAGAAATGAACAAATCACAAAGGAATTAGTACGAGAAGTTGATAACAATACCAACTCGAAAATGAAGAAGGTTTATTTAAAAGGGAATTCGAAAAGGGATAGTCAGCACAAACCTGGAATTCTCCAACAAAACGACCAAGTGTCCCACGAACTCCAGCCTATAGAGAGACAAACCGATGAGGTGAGGGTTTATAGGAAATTAAACAAACAGAGAAAAATAAGAATGGTTTACATGAAAGGTTTTTGGTGTGCTGGCTTATAAATTATACTGTTTCGAAAAGTCTGATACTAACTTCTTCTACAACTTCACGAATAGCAGCTTCTTTTGAGTCTTCACCAGGTTCGACTCCTCCAGAAGGAACAACCCATCTACCAGGATGTCGACAGCTCGAAACTAAAAGCACCTACAAGGAAAAAAAGCAAGCCAAGACACTTAGACAGATCAAACCAAGACGGGGTCGAACTTTGCCATGTGCATCAAAAACGAGTCAAAACCTCCTCTTCCTGTTCGCTTTTAAAACAGATGCATCCAGCTCTTCTCGTGTATCCATCTTTATCTTTCGTTCTGACACTGTTAAGCCGGTTTTTTATCATTCTCTTGAGAAGCAAAGAGGGTAGGAAGACGACAAAACTCACAGCATTTCACTACGCGCAATGACCTGCAACCTCGTCGCCATGACAAGACTGCTTGAAATAAGATGGTGGCTGCTGGCTTTGTAGCAAGTGACACTGCATTGTGGGATACATCCCCGAACGATCTATTTCCGGTTTACTCTAAAAATAGCGTTGCTTACATCGCTATTTTCTCAAACTCCAACAAATATTCGCAATATGGAACTTACTGAAAAGATATTACCCATAAATTAGTCTAAATATCGATAATTTCGAGGTTTTTTCTCCAGTGCTTAACAACTCTCCATAACATGATCATTATTTCACGTGCGCTATCTTTTTCTACGACGACCTTACCATGCGAGTAGGTCGTGACAGCTCTAAGTGTGGCTTGAGGTTGCAAATAGGTCACCACATTTTGCATCATGTTTCTTCTGTTCCAAGATCTGAATATTGATTGCCTAACTGTCTATTGGCAGATAATAGGATATTAACTTTACCAAATTACTTAATCATTTAAAAAATTTATCGGCTTAATTCTCGTAAATTACGAGCGCCGTATTTCTGCCGTAAAACCAAAAAATTAATATATTCAGAATTGAATAGCAGAACAATGAAAAATATAGGAAATAGCCAATTATAGCTCGTGTTTTAAAAAAAAAAGCATGACTGGGAACTTGCCAAAAGCGTATAAAATGCGCGTGATCAGTTCATGATTAGTGTTGGATTTGCATAATGTTAATGGTTAACTGAATGGCGCGAGTTTTCCTGACCAATCGAAGAGAGAAGTCAGGCGAAATCAATTCAGTCCCGGATTACATGCGACACTGAGTCAAGGGACAAACTGTTTCTGTGATAAGGAGAAATTACTTATTGGTCCGTCAGGAATGAAGGGTTTGCTGAGGAAAACGAGTTGTGTGATTTTGGCTTTTTGCTGATCAACGTGAAATATAACGTATAAAAGGTATAGTGTTTACTTTTGATAAGGTACATGGGAATCCCTAAAATACTTGAATGGATCCTGATTTATATCGTAAATGCCCTTTGTGTCTCGAGGTTATATGAGCCAATACAAGGGCCTTGCTCGCAATGGTAAACATATGTATTAATTGCTTCTGACTGCTAATAGAGTTTGCCTTGGAACGGCAGTTTCTCTTACTCGAAATTTCTCTAGTTAAGTAAGTTTGCTCATAGTGAAACTCTGACACCCCCCCCCCCCCCCCCTGGGCCCCAACGACCTAACGCAAGTTTTGGTGCTTACCTCTCTAATAAAGAGAGAGATTTAGCACCGCGTTTGCGTGAAACGCCAAACGTCAGCTTGCCCTTTCACACTTCACGTAAAATAGCGTAAACCTTACCGCTTTAGCTTCGCGAGAGCTTACGTCATACGTCACGGTGTCCATGGTGGATTTGAAGGTGCCCTTCTATGACTTACAAGGAATGGTTTTGGTACACTTTTTTCCGGCAATTAACTTTTAATTTGAGAGAGCAAAAGTAAAGAAAAACAGACGTACATGGCAAACGCGAAATAGGTTATTTTTGCGTAGAAACGGCAAAGCGTAACCGGCAAGCGTGACTGAAATGGTGGGACAAAACGTGGTCACGTGGTCACTCTTGCTGTTAACAATAGGGACTTTCTCGTTTCACGCGAACGCGGTGCTAAATGTCTCTAATATCACCCCCGACAGGTCGAGGATAGAGGGTATAGCAGTGGTGCCGCAAAAGGCAAAATTAGCCCAATCAAGACTATCAGTCGGAGCAAGTATAAATATAACGAGGTACCAAGGAGGTACATGTGAAGGTTCCAATGCAGTCTCAGAACAAAATGGGCTGACCAAGTTGCGCATCGGATTGGCTGAGAAAGTGGAGCGCGCTATCTAGACAACTCATCGGGCGTGTTGAAGAAAAAAAATTAAATCGCAAATAATTTGTTTATTACACATAATAGCTCTATTGTCGTCTGATCAACCTTCAACTGCCCTGAGCAAAATTATCTACGTTTCTAATATCTTGTATTATTCCTTGATACAGTTCCTAAATGCTTTGAAGATTTATGGTATCGTTATATGATTTCGATAAGTAACCAGATTTGAATTTTAGAATACCACCCTCTAAGCAAGGGTGGTTTTCTCTTTTTTCATTTAGGAACAAGTTTTGTTCTAAACAATAATGGCTCTGTTTCATTCGAATCCCAGCATAGAAACACCTCAGAAAATCTATTTCGTTAGAGAACTAATTGTAGGGTCCTGCACATATTAAGCGGAGGCTAACTAGCTAACTGAAATCCAACACACCCATGATATCTTGTTTTGACACTGTTGTTTCTAGAAACACCAATAAAAACCATTTCTCGTGATAAAAGTATGAAAATGAACATGAATTCCAAACGAAACAAGGGAAACGACGAACAACGGTACTGTCTATAGTTATATTTAACAATTATTCGCCGAAGGCGAGGTAAATATCGTCGAATAATCCCCGAGACGATATATATATATATATATAACTGCAGACAGTACTTTTTTTTTTTTTGAAAATCAACTTTATCATACAATGATTAGTGTTATATACAGAACAAAACTCAATTAAAACTCAATTAAGTGAATTAACGGTAAAGGACCTGCTGTGCAGTACACCAGTGAAGGAGACCCAACACAGGGGAAATTAGCTAGGTTATTGACAGTTGCTGGGTGTTATTACTATTTACAAGTTGTTTTACGGGAAGGCTAGCTCCTCTGTGCAGTACCCCAGTGAAGGGGCCCCAGCACCGGGAGCTACTACAGAGAAGGGGCCCCAGCACCGGGAGAAATCTGTTTTTTATTTACACGCGAGAAAGGTGATCTCTGTGCAGTACAACAGCTAAGGGGACCCACCCAGCACAGGGGTGTTATGTAGTGGAAAAAGTATTTACAAGAGGCGATTTATATTTTGATATTGAGTTGACGGTTCTCACAGGAGCAGAGAACATTCTGGTGAGCCCAGAGAGTGGTAGATGTCGCGCCTGGCGAAAGGTGGAAAGCCGCATCAATGAGGAGTATGCGGGTAGTGATTTCGGCCTTCTGAGCCTTATTAGTGCAGTGCTGATGCAAGGAAGAAGGAGAACCGACAGTGTCACCCCAAACGACCCAACATTTGTGGTATCGTCTAAGCCATGCCAGAGTGCTCAAACTAGAATAAACTAGTGAGCATGCGCAATTGCAACAGGAATGACTCATCCTAGGAAGAGTGCTCAATTTGGACATGAAAGCAAAGCTTTGTATGCCAAAGAGCTATATCTAAATGCGCTATATCTAACTGCACATCTAACATACACGCACACACACACATTTATATACATGAGGTAAGCCGCCTCCTCCTAAAACTCAAGCCCAACAAGTCCCCTGGGCCTGACCTTATCGCGCCGTGCATCTTAAAATCGTGTGCATCGGAATTAGCACCTTCGTTGACCTATATGCTAAACAAATCGTTCTCTGCTGGCCTCCTACCTGATGAATGGAAACACGCAGATATTACACCTCTACACAAGAAGGGTCCTAAGTCTTCGAGAGAAAACTACCGCCCAATTTCCCTTACTTCAATCCCTTGTAAGATCGGTGAAAAAATTGTTTTCGACAGGATGTTTAATTTCTGGCGTGAAATTGACCTTATCAACAACAATCAATTCGGCTTTCTGCGAGGAAGATCTACTGCAACTCAATTATTATCAACGTTTAATGACTGGGCGAAATCACGAAATCTCTCCACTCCTACCGACGTCATCTTTCTCGATCTTGCTAAAGCCTTTGACAGTGTCCCTCACGAGCGGCTGCTTTTAAAATTAAAAAGTAATGGCATCGACGGTTGTCTGCTTAACTGGCTCAGACATTTTCTGGTTGGTCGCAAACAACGTGTAGTTATCAGGGGATCTTGTTCTGATTGGTCGTATGTAACCTCCGGCACTCCACAGGGGACCATCCTTGGGCCTTTATTGTTTTTGCTGTATATTAATGACATAACAGAATGTGTATCGTCCACAATCAAATTATATGCAGACGATACGAAGATCTATAGAGAGATAATTGACCCGATCACAGATTGTCAGCGTCTTCAGGAAGATCTTACCAATATTGGCGAATGGGCTTGTAAATGGCAATTACGTTTTAACGCGGATAAATGTCNAGGAATTGGCCCTGAAAAGCCCCCATGGGGAGTGGTCAACTAACGCATGTATGTATGTATGTATGTATGTATGTATGTATGTATGTATGTATACATATAAATGTGTGTGTGTGCGTGTGTGTGTGTGTATCTACGTTTTTTCCATAAAGGATGTTTACAGTAGACCTCGACTCCAAGAACTCAATCGCCTCGACCTTGCCGCAGCTAAAAAAAATCGATCTCTACTTTCTTCAGTTCGCTTGCTCCATTTTACGAAAGGAGTGCGCAATCGATTTGGAGAATAAAATCATAAAATTTTGCTCCTTGTACGGGAGTGGTTTGATGCAGATTGTTGGATCGTTGATTTGACAAACGTTCCAAGACTCCCTGACTCATCACAGACTCTTCATTCGGTCAATTTTCAAACAATTAATTGTTTCTGAAGTATGAGGCAATAAAAGAAATTATTGATTTTTTGCTTTCAAGCGATATGCGGTACCAGTTTAAAACTCGAGCTCCAATCCCAAGATAGGCTACTTGTTAAAATAATATTTAATGCATCTAATTAGCGAAATTGGCAAGCTTTTCTTCAAGCGTCTACTCCCAAAGTCCATGGTAGATAAGAGGAATGAAGAATTCCAAGTCAGCTCCTTTAATTTGGCTGTCGAAGCCACCGTGCAAACAAAAACGTATCTGTTGTAGCTCACAATTCACAATAAAGCAAATACTGTCAGTTTTTTGGACTCACCAAGTAGACGAACGAGGCGCAAGAAAGCACATCGCTGAAGGTCTGATCGACGGCTTTCCATGATGGCGTTTCTTCCAATTCCCAAGTTAGGTGCTTACACTTCTCGATATATCCCTCTACTACTCAAGGAATTTCTGTTCTTGAGAAACGTTTTCCTTCAAAGACGTGACAACATCGTCTTAACAATATTCTTTTACCTTTTGCCTTTGACCTTTCATTTGTAAAGAATTACAGGACTCTCGATTTGATTGATGTCTGTCATGTTAACTCGTACTCAGGTCAGGTTCTTACGTAGACTCCAGTAAGTTTCAGATTATATTTCTCTTTCATATACCAAAAAATTTTGCTTTCTCAATCAAGTCTGTTGAAACACACCCTGACAAATGAGCTGCCTAGAATAGAGCAAAAAAGTAAAATTACGAGGCCGATTCACAAAGAAAATAATATAATTTTGACGCTGATTGTAGCTCTCAACTCCCCCCTTCCCTCCCCCTCCCACACACACACACACACACACACACACACATACACACCACCCCACCACGCCCGTGTGTGGTCTGTATTAGTTACAAACGCAAACACACGCATTGGGCAGGGGCGCTGGCTAGTCTGCGAACATCTATGGATGGAATTCCGGAGGAAGACAAGTCATAACAGGATATGCCAGCGCAGTTGCCTCTTGACCAGAGCGCGAGTCAGTTCAGAAACTCTCATTAGATCATTACAGAAAGTGTATGAATTATCAACCAACTTGATTCAGATGCAAAAAATCTTAAAAGGGGTAAAGGGCGTCAAAATTTCTCACTTCAACAAACTTTTTCACATGAGCCCCGGTTCCATCCACCGTTATAGCAATATTTCGCCGCGCACCTTGCCACAGCTTAAAATTCTAAAAGAATTCTCAGAAATCTTAAAATTCTCAGAACTCTGAGGTTTAAGGACCACTTAGTGTTTATTCAAACGTAGGCTGGTTGTTTGTTATGTTATTTGTAAAATTGCAAGGCTCTCTGAAAGTCGATGTTCACCTTTATTTACGGTTGAAGGTGACATCAAAATGTAGTTTCTCTAATTTCAGGCGTTCATGAGGAGCGCTTATAACCTTGCTGTCGAGGTGTCAAGTGAAAAAGGCGATATTGGATTTGTTGTTGGTTATCATTTTACTTCCGGAAGGTAAAAGAGTGTGAATCCTGCCCTCAAGTATCATCTTTGCACGCAACTTATTTGTATTATTAGCCATATTTTTTACTACCCAGCAGTTCATAGTTGTCCGTCCTGTACACACTTTGTTCATTCTTTTAGTTTTCCGTTCATTTTTTTTTTTTTTTTTTTCAGTTTTGCTCTTCGACCTCTGAAGACGAGAAAAAACTGGACTCCAAAGAATTTATATATCCCCGCCTCCAGCCCCGCCCCCTTGCGTCTCAAGGGCGGCTTCGAGTTTCCGGTCTATTCTTCATGTTTAGATCACCTCGACTTAATAAATTTTCCCTTTTTATCACATTTCTGGCAAACAATCCTTGATGATTTGGCCTTCCGGTGCGTCACCCCTTGAGGTGTTATAACGAACAACTGCACAACGACCAGGTATTTGATCTGGACGGGTAATAAATCTCAAGAGCTGTTTACACATATTTGGGTAAGGGCTTTTCCGCTTTTCCACGCTGGCGAAAAGTTTCCATTTCTTTTTAATCTCGATGCTGTTGCGTTATTCTAACACTCTGTTCAATGCAGCCGCTAGCTGTCAACCCAAGAATATGTTAAACATGTACCTCTGACTTGTACACCATTTTAAGCTTGTTATCTTTCCGTACAGCAATCAGAAATTTGCACGAAAAGCCGCATTTAGCGATTGTTAGTCCTAAATTGTAATCGCGATCAAAATGTCCCTATTCTAACCACAACTGAGAACGCTGATCCATTCCGATCATTCTTGACGACAAACTGACTGAAGAAATCTTTGTTTTATATTCCCTGGTGGAAGACGAGTCAGTCAAATGAGTCAAGACCAAATTCGTCTGGGAGTGCCTCTGGGGGAGTCACTAGGGGCAAGCCATGCTTGCATAAACCTGCTGGCCAATCAATTTGACGTATTAATCTCACGTGACGGAATAGTTAGGTGACGTCATAAAGAAAGAGAGGTTGCCGAAGAAAGTTTTGTTGTTCGAAGCTATTGATAAGATCCCGTGACATAGAAAAAGGAAACGTACATCTTGTGTTTCCTTTCGCTGAAATTGAATTTAAAAACTGGTGTCGTTATTTATAAAGAAAGATAGTGTTATTGTTTGTAGTGTACTTGTAATAATTCGTATTTTAAGGGAGAGACTGTGTGCATATGGCGGTGATGCCCGTTGCGAAACAAGATTTTGTCTCTTTGGAACCGTTTGTTCATCAAGTCGGAGGGCATTCCTCCATGATGAAATTTGACGATGTGTCTGTCTGTAAACCTCTAAATCAACGAGAGCATCGCTTTTATGAGGAACTGCCATCAGAAATGCACCCCTTCACTCCGAAGTATCGAGGTAAGCCAAATACTTCGTAATTGTTTTTGTCGCTCTCCCCCGGGTAGAAATTTGAATTTTCAAACGTTAGTGGTTATTTCATGTGTTTTTTGTAATCTCTTTATGTTCTCTCTTCTCAACTGTTTTCAAAACACCGTAGTTGTCTATTATTGTCCAGATTTTGCTCTCCTTGCTATGGAGACAATTGCAGCAATACTTGTCAAAATGAGCTTTCCGAGATCGATATATTGATGGTAATAGGATATAGGACCGTATCATTCATTGCAGCAGCGCATCCACATTGTTGAAATTCTGCATTAGGCTTGTATGCGATTATCCAAAAAACTGCAGTGAATTGGGAACAGTGACTCTGTATTTTATTTGCAGAAATTACAGTGCTATCAATCCTCAGAACTGCGAGACCTTTTTGCCCAGATGTCGTTTAAGTCTGCTTTAGTTTTCAGTGATCTTTGTTCCTGTCAGCAATTTTCTCTCCATGCCAGAAAGCTACCCTGGCGTTTTCTTGCAACTTGATAAGCATGTAAGTCAGCACGAACGGAACCGGTCAATCAAGGCTATTGCGTCGCTGTATTTAAGTTTTGTGTACGATATAAAATGCGGCATTTTTCGTTCCTTATCGTGGTAACTAAGTTTGCAACGACGAGGACAAGTGCGTTGTTGGCAAATGTTACTCAACCATTAACTTTGATTGTCAATAATCCTTTCAATCGTATTGGTCTTTTGTTCGGTTGTTGCTATCTTAAAATCATCTCAATCGCCTACAAGTTAAAAAAAAAAAAGAAAAAAGAAAAAGAAAAAAATGTCAGTGTTGATTTCAAAGCAATATGATTTGAATATAACGTAACGTCAAAGTGTTTACTAATCATCCTTCTATTGCGACTGATTCTGCGCTGAATTATTCCCACGACATCCTGCCTCAAAGCCGAGGAGAAGGATTAAGTATTGTTAAGCTTAAGACGATGTTATTTTAAACCCGTTTCCCTAAAAATAGCAAAATGTATCTAAACTAAATCGGTGGGCATGGATTTATCAGTATGATATGATATTTTTCGTGTTTTTATTTTCGTTTCGTGCTTATTTAGTTACAAATATTATCACCCCTCCAACGACAGGCATACATCATTTCTCACTAAAATTCTGTTTATCACTCGCACTCCTGGATTTTCTTTTTTTAGAAAATCTCTTTAAAAATTCAGGGCTCGACGCTAACGGTAGCCAACTAGCCGTAGACTAGTAGAAATTCAGTTTTGCCAAATGGTTTTCGATTTCCACTGGCCAGTTGTTTGGCCAGTAAACAAACTGAAATTGCTGTAACATATCTAAGTTGTCACTAGCCACTTGGCTAGGGAGTTGAAAAGTTAGTGTCGAGACCTGCTTTAAAAATTGCATGTATGGTATGAACCAAACTGTTTGTTTTTATTTAAAAAAATTGTCATCCCTGTTAAGTTCTCCTGCTATGGCTGCCAATCTGTCAAAATCTGAGGGACAGATTATTTTCCTTTCCACCAAAAAAAAATAATGATAATTGCACGGCCAAGGTTAATGGCATTTCTATTTGTGCACTGGATTACAAGACATGTGATTTTGATAATCTTTCTGTTGGATGATTAAAGAATACTGCAAGAAGCACAGTTGAGTTGATATTTGTACCTGAAAAAGTTTTCAGGTGCTAATTATATATTGTTTTTGTTTTTTTGTTTTTTTGTTTTTTTTTTTGCGGAATATCTTAGTAGTTTAACATTCATACTTAATATGCAGTTGAGTTATCTCCTTTTGTAATTTCTGGCTTATAGCCACTGGTTCATTATGTTTCTGGATCTTGCTATATTATGTATATATAAATCCAAAGATATAATCTTTTCAGTTCCTGCCGTGAAACTACAAAAGATGATAGACATCAAAATAATTTCGCAGTGGCATCCATGGATGCATGACTTAAATCAAAACTATTCCTTGTAGAAATACCACAGTAGATACAATATGCACATCAGGGAAGCTGGTCAGTAGCCACATGCAGCCTTTGACAGTCTATTTTTAAAACATTTTGTTAGAAGGGATCCTCCCTGCCACAGATGTGGGAAAACATTGCAAAATTAGATCAGTTTTTGGTAGGCTTTTTTGTGGCAGAAAATGAGTGATTAAAGGAAGCAGTGTGGCCGAGTGGTCAGTGAGTCAGATTCGCGATCCACTGCTCCCGGGTACGAGTCCCGCCCTGACCACTACCTGGATTTGTTTCACGGTAGATGCGAGTTCAAATCCTCGGCCATGCTCGTAAATAGCCAACTGATTTGCCTTCGGCCAGTTGGAATTTTTAATAATGTTATGTTCAATTTGAATTAGGTTTCAGTTGTTTGCGTGGACCACAATGAGATCACTACTGGTTCTACCAGTAATTGTGTAATCCAATAAAGTCATTATTATTATTATTATTATTATTATTACTATTATTATTATTATTATTATTATGTCATTATTATATAATGCAGAGAATGATTGGTACTAACTTGGGAAAATTCAAATAACTTGGTCAACTGTAGCTCTTTTTTCTTAAACATGAAAAATTTTGCAGATACATGAAGATGTAGTCTTCATGCAAATGATGTTTTCAGTTTTGTGGTTTTTGAAAATTTCAATAATATCATTGTGGTTTTGCATGATTTTGAGTGGTTTTGTTTCAATTTAATTTTAGAATATTTAATTGTAGTTTTTGGAAATATAGTTTCTTGGAAGTTTTTCACTGAAGTCCAGTAGGTTCAGTCATCCACCTCTGTACTTGCACTTGGGTCCAAAGCAAGAAAACGGTTATGGAGATATGATTTTATTTTATGGCTAAATTACCCACTCCCCAGTTGGAAGTGGTCCAGCCAATTGGGGTTTAAATAGTTGTGATATTACACTGTGTTCATTGAATTTCATAGACTTCTATACTTTTTCGTGGCAATGCCACTCTATCCTCATTGCTGTTAGCTCCTGAATTTGTCATTGTTTTTTTTTTTCTCTGTTGGTAGTTCTGATTATGTGAAGTGATTTAATTAAAAAGTGAAGATGCAATAAAAAGTTAGGTTGGTAAAATCCCCAATTACAATCAGGACTCAATTTTGTTATTTTTCATTCCTCAAAGAATCTGACAAGTTCTTGAAATGTATGAACTGAAAATTAAAATCTTCCAATGCTACACAATTCTAGCTGTTTTGTCTGGCACCGTTTAATTAGTGATCTGAAATATTAGGATTGGAATTTTTAATGCATATATACTAGCCAGATGGTTAGACGGAAATATTCACTATTAATAATGAGTTCCCCACATCTTGGATCATTTTTGAAAGTTCACAAAATTGAATGCAAGGAAACTAACCTTTTTGCCAATAATGTCAAAATTCTTAAAAACTGAGCAGTAATTTATTTTGGAAGCAGTGCTTCTTCACAAAGTAGGAAAACTTGATCAAGATTCCAAATTTTGGAAATATTAAAGTGGAAAAAAAGATTGGTGGACAAAAATACAAATGATGTGTTAGTACAATGCACATGTAATTATGACTATGAAGAATAGAGAAGCTTGCTGCTGCTGAACTTTGTACTTTTAATATTCGTCTACTAGAACTGCTACACAGGAGATGATAATTTTAGATTAACTAGACAGTCAACTTAGGATTAAACGTAGTATCCTTTTCCTTAGTGTCTGCCTGTTGTGAACATTCCTATTACTTTGCAGGAGCTTAAGAAAGGGGGCTAAAAGTATAAAATACACAATCAATATAAAGATTGCAAGATGTTTTTTGTCTTCTGTTGCTGTCTGTAGTGTCATAGCAAGAACCAGAAACATAAATAGCCAGTGGCTATAAGCCAGAAATCACAAAAGGAGAGAACTCAACTGCATATTAAGTATGAATGTTAAACTACTAAGATATTCCATGAAAAAAAATTAATTTTTCTGTGTACTGTCACTCAGGTTTTCAAGAACACTATAAATGGTATACATTTTTTGTTGTGGAAAAAACTGCAGTGTTGAATTGGAAAATAGTGCAAGGCTTCAAATTGAGATACAGGTTGTTTTGAACTTCTGTCTGGCTAAAATACAATACAATAATACTATGTTCTAACCATTTGGCCCTGGTTTTTCAAAGCCGGGTTGGATACGTAACCCTATCCACTGGATACATCTTTAGCGCAGCATGTTTTTTCTATCACCTACCTGCTGGATAGCGATTTATCAGTTGGGTATAGCGTTATCTGCCCTTTACACAACTGGGCCCTGCATAGTTAATTGAGCCCTTTTCCGTTGTTTTTGGTTGTCTACACAGAAAGGGGGATTTTTCAGAATCTACTGGCTCTAGACAAGGTTTCTGATGTTATGCTTTGAAGCAATTAATTGGCACAATTTAAATACATCATTAGAGAAAAACTGCATAGTTAATTAAGGAAAAAGAAATGTTGCACAATTTGAAGGGGAAAATGAGATTTTGATTCAGTGTTCCAAAGATCAATGTTATTTTTATTATTATTATTATTATTAAGTCATTTTCTGTTTTGGGACTAAGGACAAATAGTAAACACTGTTGAATGGGGCAAAAGTATCAATGGTTTCATTATTTTATATTCTTTTTGTTTTTCCCACATGCCTGCTCTGCTATAAAATGACAAATGTTAAACCCTAGAGTAAGGTTTATGCTGTGATTTACCCAAGTTAAACAAGAAGTGATAATTGAAACCTTCATTTGTGGTTTGTGATCATTGGCAGTCACTTTGATTATTTTGAAAACAGGCACTGGTAGCCGATAAAAAAAGGTTATCTTTGTTCTAGTTAAAGGTTAATTAATAAGTGCTTTCTTATGATATAATGTGGGCTGGAAGAAATCATATGATGACTTTCTTTTGTAAATCACAGGCCATTCAAATGCCTGTCTAGTCAAGGAGGTCTTAGCCCTTTAACTTCCTTGAGTGACCAAAACATAATTTCCCCAAGTACATTATCAATACGATATCAAGTAGAAAAGGAATGAGAATTAAGAAAAATATCAACAAGAGGATAATTAGTGGATCCAATACCAAATTCTCCAAGCTAACATCATAAAGAATTGTATGGCAGACAGTGAGAAGAATTACTAATTAAAATTAAATGAGATCCTGGGAGTGAAAGAGTAAAAGAGCATCTAGAGTACCTCCAAACTTCCAGAAAACCCTGTAATAAAATCTATTCATGACTGGAAGTCTCTTTTCTTTATTTCAGGAGTGGTTTATGTAAGCTTTGAAGAAGACGAGGATGGTTATATCCATCTGACAGCTCACCCAAACAAGTTAGCATTAGAATGTCAAAATAAAGATGGCTCTTCCAAATTCAGCTGTAGCACAAATGGTAGTTCCTCAGACAGTGACAGCAGTGGAGAGGAAGTGATAGGATCACCCCAGCTGAGGTCACCAAGAGTTGGTATAGTTGGATCAGTAGAGACAGGTCCATACAGGTACTCAAAGAAGTATAATGTTTTTGTTGACTTAAGATGAACTTCTGTTCAATATAGTTCCAGAGGTGAACATCTGACATATATTAAACCTTTAATTCCCAGAACTGATTGAAGTGTTACTCTCTGCGTGTGTAATATCTCTCAACATTCAAAAGGACAGGCCTATGCTTATGAACAGAAATAGCTCTTTTAGGAGCCATCAAACTTGCAAGAACGATCATGACAAAATTCTATCCTTATGTATTGTCCTACTGTAAAGTTGTATTTAGTTTGCTCTACAGACTGATATAACATAAATAAATTTTTGATGACCAGTGTTAATTTATGTAAAATTGCAACTCACTTACAGATGTTCTTGCAGATAAGCTGCAGAAAAATTTTGAGAAAAAAGCTGCAGCTTATGAGCCAGTATTTATAGTACTTGGTGACAAAGGTGAAAATTACCCACCTTGAACAAGCACCCCCTCTTATAGTACGAAAAGTTGTGTATGCAGTCTGTTGACCTTGACTAAAGGCCACCTTTGATTGAGTCGTATATTAATTACATTTTACGTTTATTATATTATATATTATATTATATAACAACTTTATTTAAATAATAACATATAACATATTATTATTAAAAAAGGGTTATAGAAGGGAGGAACTTAATCCTATTATGAACCTTGACAAGTGTAGAAGCAAGCTACAATGGTCATCACATATTAGCATGAGGATAGGAACATCTGACATGACACTCAAAAATGACAAAGAATGGATACAACTGGCTGAAAAATTTTTTTGCAGGGTGCGACTTCGGAGTGGAAAGCTAGAACTCATAAGCACTAGGAATGAAGGATTCTTTGATGCAGGAGATATGACTGATCACTCATCAGGTAAATAGTTGTTTTAATCTCGTATGATGTGGTGGAATCTTGTTAATCTGGCCACTGACAAGTTCTTGGAAAATTATGTTGCTAAACAAGAGTGAAGCCTCATCGGCAATTACCAGCCGTGCAAACATACCTTTACTTGACTTGTCTCAAATAAATTTGCTACCATCCAATAGCAGCTGATCAGGTTACAGGGAAGGCATTGGTGGTTGTCAGTAGAAACAACTGTTTGCTTTACCTCTATAGATCATGCCTCCCACGGGTGGCCTGAGAATGAAATCTTCACAAGCTGCTATACTGGAAGGAACAGCATTAATGGTAGAAACTTGATGTCATTTCACCATTTCACTCCTAAGATTTAAAGATCATTTCTCCCCAAGAGATGAGAATACAAGATTTGTAGAGAATTTTGAAGTGATTTATTACATCAAGAAACTTAAGTCTTCCTAGGGAAGTGTGGCCATTCAGTGACTTCAGTCCTATCAAACCTTCCTTTCAATGAAAAATTGCTTTTTCAACTAAAATTTTCCCAAAACTTGACTTTACAGTAATTGCAGTTACTGTATTAAACCCCACTTAAGTTTTATGACTCATCGCTACCGTAAGCATTTGCCCTCAAATCTTAAGCATCTATAGGTTTTTAATTTCTAAAGAACAGTGATCCATAATACCTTAACAGGGTAGGGGCCCATCTTAAGTTCAACAATGACAGCCTTGTTAGGTAACTTTTTTCTTTAACTTTCAGGGAGTGCAGGTGCAAATCCTTGGAGTTTGCATTGTCATAAGGAAGAAGTAAACAAAATGAGAAAACTGGGCCCATCATCTAAAGCACACAGTATCCTTTAACAACTGCAAAGTTATAATAATTATTGATTTCTAAGCTTAAATATTACTTCTGACTGTGAAAGCCACAAGAGTAAGTCTCCTTAATCCAGATGTGTACCGTATACATATCAATTTCCTTGAGCTTGGCTCACACTTGTGATATAAGAACCTACTAATGATAATTATTACAAAATCATGACAAACTAGAGAAAAGATAATTGTGCTAATTAATGTATCAATAGGCTGCCGTCATGTTATCATATCTGCATTGATGAGTTCACATTATTTACTTATGACATATAAACCTCCCTATGTTTTGTCATTATAAATGCCCTCATGTAGCTAGCATAAACCTTGCTTATCATCTTATGTCTAAATACTTGCAATTCTTTATAACAACATTTAATGACCTTCCTAGAATGGTAGACTTATTTTTGCCCACATTTAATCACTGGTATGGACACCAAGTTTATGCAATCACCATGATAATAAAAAGAGCCCATGATTGTTCAATCAACAAATTGGAAATTTAGTCACTCCACTGCAACTTTGCTAGTCCTGCTGTGTTGTTAGTAACACCACTGCCTGATTTTCTTTGCCTGCTCATGAGTTGTCAACAAGGTACCACTTTTGAACCCTTGCCATATCTTTTTTTTTTTTTGGAACATTCAATTACTGCTTCTCTTTCTTTTGACATAAATACTGGTATGCTGTTTATTAATCTTAACTGAACCTAGAATACATTGTTTTGGAAAATGTGGCTTTCCAATTTTCTTCACCTTGTATTCTGGACTTAAAAATGGGAACGCGGCAACATGGAGACGATGCAACTGGTGAAAAAAGAGATCGACTTATTGCGAAAGTAGAAAAATCTACGTCAAAAACTCTTGGAATAAGAGCATGTGGTATGCAGGTGAGATTTTTAATGTGCTTTAAGCACATTGATTTATTCTTTGACCTAAAAGTACTTAATGGCCAAGAGTGTTGTCATACTAATGTAATGTTCTTGAATCTACCATCATGCATTATTTATTCCATTTTCACTGCAATTACATCATTACATGA